TGTCAAAGTAAACCAAGGAGAGAAGCTACTGTCTTTCCTCAGACTTTGACCACAGAGAAAAGCAGAAAACTTTTCAGGCTGTCTGAAAGATGATGGAGAATTTAAAATAGGATGTTTGAGGAACAATTCAAGAGCTGAAGACAGTCTTAAAAAAATCCGAGTAGTTTTCAGAGTAATTTAAACAAATAAAGAGCAAGTTTTAAAGATACTATTAGAGTACTGCTGAATTTAGGATTAAATCAACCTTCCCTACTCCTCCCCTCTACACACAAATCAAACCTACCTTAGAAGTTTGTAGTGAAGGGGATATGTGTGCCTGTCCCCTGATCATATTCTATGTACTCTGTCTAGACAGAGCATCCTCATCCTCGACCTGTGTCCATTTTTTGAGTGGTTTTATTAGGTTTACAGAAAAATAAATGGATCAGAAACACAGAGCTCCCATAAGCCTCTCCCACCTCGAATTTCCCCCGATTTGTAACATTTTGCATAACTGTCATAACTGGTCATAAATGATGAACCAGTACATTATTATTAACTAACGTCCACAGTTTCCATCAGGGTTCACTCTTGGTGTTGTACATTCTTTAGGTTTTGAGAAATGTAAAATGACATGTGGCCACCATCACAGTATCATATAGACTAGTTTCACTGCCCTAAATATCATCTGTGTCCCACCCATCCATCCACCCTCCCCCACAATTTCTGGTAACCACTGACCTTTTCACTGTCTCCATAGTTCAGTCATTTCCAGAATGTGATGGAGTTGGAATCAGACAGTTTGTAGGCTTTTCAGATTGGCTTCTTTCATTTATTTATTTGCATTTAAGTTTCCTCCATGTCTTCTCATGGCTTGCTAACTCATTTCTCTTTAGCACTGAATAATATTCCATTGTGTAGATGTACCATTCACCTACTGAAAGACATTTTAGTTGCTTCCAACTTCGGGCAATTGGAAATAAAGGTGCTTAAACATCTGTGTGTGGACCTAAGTTTTCATTTGGGTAAATACCGAGGAGTGCAATTGCCGGATTGTATCACATGTAGAATTTTTGCAAAGATTTTTCCTCTGGTCAGCGGCTTCAATCAGAATTTTTTCTTATTGGGGTATAGTGTACATCCATTAAAGAGCACCAATCTTAAGTGTACAGTTTGATGAATTTTACATGTGCACACGTGAGACCAAGATACGGAGCATCTCCGGCACTCAGAAGGCTCCTTGCGTGCTTTTCCAGTCACTACTCTGGGATAACACTACTCTGACTTCTAGCATAATCCATTGGTTCTGCCAGAACGCAGCTCCCACCTTGCAGCTTTTGAAAGCAGAATTCTTTTTTGGGGGTGGGGAGGTGGGCAGGGGGAGAAGAGCCTTTAAAAGCAGTATGTTCCATTTTGGTTTGTTTTCAATGGAGCCTGATTTCATCACCAAATTGTTCCACATCACCTGTTGTGGAGCAAGAGTTGGCACACTGTCTGGATAAATAATTTTTTGGCTTTGCAGCCCAGCTAATGAGTGAGCATGGTTGTATTCCAATAAAACTTTATTAATAGAAGCAGGAAGTGGGCCAGATGTGGCCCTCGGGCTGGAGTTTGTGGATCCAGTATATAGCAGTGCTTTTCTTTTGTAAAATTCATGTCCAGGCCCTACTCCAAATCTGAAGCCACATGTCTTGGGACAGGAATAGCCTATGCACATTTTAAGGCCTCCTCAGATGACATTCCATGCTCATTCCAGGTTGAGAACCTTTTGTATGTCCCTCCAAAGAGAAAGACAATAGATGTCCCGGGACCCGGCACTTTGAAAATGGAGTTAAACAAAAGCCCATTGAGACTCTCCCCACCTTGACAGCATTTTGATTAAATAGTTTCATTTCCCTTTTTCACCGTCTGTCATTCTCTCCTCTCTCCTAGAGGTGACAGGCTTCTGCCTGGCCAGGTGGAGGGAGAGTGTCAGATCCCGACTGGAAGATACTCCATGTTAAAGTTGAGGAATGAAGGAGGAGGGGCTGGGGGAGATGGAGAGATCTGGAGTCTTGAGGGATCTCTGAGGTGACAAATCTGCCCCCCGGGGAGTGAGAGAAAGTTGTGGTCAGAGGGGAAATTTTCCCGTGTGGCTCCTGGGAGGTTGAACAGTTTCGAGTGACTCTGAGATAATAGCAGCTCACGATTTCTGAGCACAGTCTGTGTTTCATGCACTTCGTGCATGCCGCCTTCACAAGATCTTTTTAATATCCCAGGCAGTGGCTGTTGTTGGCATTCCTATTGTACAGAAGTGGAGACTGGGGCGTCTGGAGGTCATGTAGCTTAGGGGAGCCCTCGGAGCTACTCAGAGGTTGGAGCCAGGATCGGATTGGAACCCTGGCGGCGGGCACTTTTGTACTGCTTGCCTCTTAAGGGGCCACCAGGTGGGGGCATGGGAGGGTGCAGTTTGGAGCCAGTGGCATTGAGAGGTAGAGGTGACCGTCATGCATGTGACGCAGAGGTGGCAGGAGAGAACGCCTGGCAAGGAAGGGGACCCCATGCTAGGCTTAAGCCATGGCCTTCGAAACTAGAAAACTGGTCTGAGATCACATTAGTGTTATCTGGGGGCAAAGGTCAGGCAAAGTCCAGAGGGGGCCTGAATGAGCTTGTGGACAGTTGCCCAGAGAGCGACCTGCATAAAGCAAGATTAAAGCAATATTTGAAATGGAACAGGCATCCTTTTCTACTTGCTTTGGGCTAATAACAATACCTTCCATTACAAGTTAGTCAGTTCACTAGGACCCAACTAAGCAGAACTTCCCAACAACTGGAATATTTTCTGCATTTTATTTCAGGAAACGACAGCGAAAAAAAAAAAGGAAAAGAAATGGTGAGCAGGGAATTTATTCAAATGCATTAACTTCCAGGTTTTACCCTGCATCACTGCATACTTCATTCTCTCTCTTCCATCTTTTAAGTCTGTATTGTTCCACAAAAAAGAATGGATGTCCCAGTCATCCTCAATGAATTCCATTATGAGGTTTGACACAACAAACACCTACCGAGAATCTTCAATGCCAGACACTGCTGGGGAAATAAAATGATCTAAAACATGGTTTCTGCCCTTGGAGAACTTTCGGTCATGGCAAGAGAACTCATTTATCTTCAGCACGAAGGGGCACACCTGTATGAAGGCAGTTTGTTGAAAGATCCTCAATAAGATCTAAGACAAAAAGGGTTTAAGAGACTCCCAAGTCTTATCTTCTGGAACACTCCAGATTTGGAAGTTCTATGTGATCGCATTTAATTCTTAAATGCCAGGTGCTCTTCCCAGGCTGGCTTTTCATCTGGGACACCAGGAAAGCTTAGCATCTTTGAAAGGCGCAAATCAGAAGCGTTCTTCTGGCGAAATGCTAGTGTTTGGGTGTGGCTCCTTCCTTCTTTTGAGCATCACGAGTACATGAAGAAGTCACTATAAATTCTGTGTCTGGACCTTCGGTCACATTCCCTTGGGGGTCTAAAACTGCACAATTCTATAGGATCCCCTAGTTTGCTTATTCTGACCACGCACCTTCTTGAGAAGAACCGGCAGGCTCATTCCGCTTCATGTCTGCTGGCTGCCTCTGATCACCCCAGATGTTGCAAGCTGGTGGCTCACTGGCCAAGGCGAAACACAATATTTTATTAATAGAGTCGCCATCACTTAAAAATCCAATCCCCTCCCCACCTCCCACCCCACCCCCCAAAAAATCCAATTTCCCATTGCAAGTTTGGATTTCTGGCTTCTTGTGAAAATACCATATTTGGCAGTACTAAGGGAGGTTTGTAGGGTACAGTCACCTGCCCTCAAGGGAGGTCTGCCCCCTCTCTCCCCTTCCTCCCTCACACTGGTGTGGCACTTTAAATGCCACCGTCATCGGGCTTGCACTGTTGCTTTCTCGATTGTGATTGTTTTTCTCTACCTGTGCTCTATCAAAAGTGGGTTCCGAAGAAAGAAATAGAAAGCCATGAGTGTCTTCTACCTGGCCCATGTCACCCACGGCTATCACCTGCCTGGTAGAGGATGACCACATTCCCCTTGTTTCTCTCTCTTCTTTTATGCCTGCAGGCACAGCAATCCAAAACCATCTTCCCCTAGATTCAATGTCATCAGTCAGATGCCACTCAGTAGGAGCAACTACAGGTTACGCCCATCCCTTGCATCATGCTCATTTCCTTGTTGTCCAGGATCCTGCATTCCCCGACAACACAAGACAGCACCCATGGGCTGCACGTGGCTCGCTGCTCTGTTACTGGGGATAACCCAACCTTTACCTTTAGGGAACTGATCACCGTCACTGCTAAGTGGGAAGGTAGGGATCGCTGTCACGTTTCACTTCAAAGTTGACCTGGTTTCAAAGAGGGCAAGTGATATTTGGAGTCAAATTAGGGGAAAGTACGGGATTCTTCGAGAGGGAGAAAACAAAAGGAAAATATAATAATGACTGTTGTGGCCTAATTTAGTGACATCCTTGGAGCTGAGACCTGAAATGCACTGGGCGGAACGTGGAGTGAGCTCCGAAACTGCTCACATGGCCTTTGGAGTGAGGGCCTTCTGGGTTCTTTTCCAGGCACCCTCTGGCCACCTTTTTCCACCTGTTTTTCCGAGTGAGTGCCATCGTCACCTACGTGTGCTGCGACTGGTTCAGTTTTGTGGGCTGTTTTGTGACTGTGCTTCTCCTTCTGTCCTTTGACTTCTGGTCTGTGAAGGTAAGGACCCTCACCTGCGACGCTATGGCTCCCGAAACACGTGGGCTGCGTCTCCAGATGGTGACTGTCCCAATGCATGTGGCCGATTGGGGCCAAGAGGTGCTCTGGTTGAAACTGCTGACACGCACTTAAGAATACTGAACCAGAGTCACTTAAAATTCGAGGAAAAAATACATTGTTTAGTGTTGAATAAATGGCTTATGGGTATCAATTGTCATGGGTGTGAATATGTACTCTCTGAGGGTGACAACTCCACATGACTTTAGATTTTTAAAATTTACATATACTATATAAATATTTAAATGTTCTATATAACATGAATATATGTGTACACACACACACATATTTTTTTTTTTTTTGAGTGGGGAGCATCTGTCACCTTTTGAGGTAAGCTTAGTTAAAAATTAGAAGCCTCAAAAACTGATTTGGAAACCACTGCGGCTCAAGCCCCATCTTCTCTGCTCCCAGCACGTTTAACCTAAATTGGGGACTTTTATTCCCCAATAAAAAGGCGAGGACCCTCTCCTTACCTGTGGTGTGCTTTGAGTCATTTTGTCTGCTTTCCTCAGAATGTAACCGGAAGGCTCATGGTGGGCCTCCGCTGGTGGAACCAGATCGATGAAGATGGGAAAAGCCACTGGATTTTTGAAGCCAGAAAGGTATTCTCCGTTACAAGTCAGATCAGAACGGGGAAAATGGCTGTGGGACGTTTCTGTGGGTTCCTTCTGGGTTTTGTGCAGATCTGACGCCTGCCCTGCACAAAGCCCATTGCTGCCAGTGCTCCAGCACATAGCAGAAGCACGTGTAAAATAAACGAAAACGGTAGCGTGAATCACTTTCCCACCACAGGTCTCTGCAAATAATATCGCTGCCACGGAAGCTGAAGCCCGCATCTTCTGGCTTGGCCTCATCATTTGCCCGATGATTTGGATTGTGTTCTTCTTCAGCACCTTATTTTCCTTGAAGCTAAAGTGGCTGGTAAGGTGACACTTTGACTCTGACGTTGCGTTGACATCAGTACAGAACCAGAGGCTGCAGGAGTAGGTTTTTGTTATTTATGATTGATAGATGGATTGAAACAGCTTTATTAATTCGCATAGCATACAACTCACCCATTGTATACAATTCGGTTGGCTTCTAGTACATTCACAGGTATGCAACCATCACCACAATCCATTTTAGGACATTTCCATCAGCCCAGAAAGACACCCTGTACCCTTCAGCCATCACCACCTCCCCCGTTTCCTTGTTCCTCCAGCCCGTCGCCCTCTCATCTTTCTGTTTCTATAGATTTGCCTATTCTGGACATTTCCTACAAATGGAATCCTAAAATATGTGCTATTTTGTCAGGCTTCTTTCACTCTGCTTATTTTCACAGTTCATCTGTGTTGTGGCATGTATCAGTACTTCTTTCCTTTCTACGGCTGAGTAATATTCCATTGTATGGCTATGCCATATTTATTTATCCCTGTCTATCCGTTGATGGACATTTGGTTGTTCTCACTTTTTGGCACATATGAAAAATGCTGCTAAGAGAGCAGTTCTCAGAAAAAGGATGCAACATCCTACCTTGGACAGGAAACCCTTTTTTTAAGATAACCCAATTTTATTTATTTTTTTATTTTTAGGCAACCCTTGGTTGACCTCACAGATTGCAAGGACCTTGTCAGCTTACAATCACTTTACTTTTTATTTTTTACGCCTACAGCACCTGGTCTTCCTAGGTGGTCTCCCATCCAAGTACTAACCAGGCCTGACCCTGCTTAGCTTCCGAGATCAGACAGGATCGGGCTTGATCAGGGTGGCATGGCTATAGACAGGAAACCCTTTCTAAGTAGGAATATGCTAGCCTCAGAATTCTGAAGTTTTCTTTCAGAGTTACCGTATTTCATTGCCATGATCTGGTTCATTCGATGAGAAAACAAAATATTCACAGCTAGTAGAAGCAACAGTGTAGTTAAATGCACGAACTCCGAAGTTTAGATTCTGATGCGACCACGCGTTAGCTCTGGGACCTTGGCCAACTTCAGTTTCTCTGGGTGGGCTTCAAATTCCACCCTGTAAAATGCGATAATCATGGCACCGACTTCTCGGGTCGTTGGTGGTCAAAAGGTGTCCATGAGTATTTGTTAGTGTTCAGAAAAGGTTGACTATTACTGTTAGGCCGCAGTCACGACTATTTATTTGGTTTGGGAGGAACATTTCAAAATATGCTCTTAGAAAACTTACCTTTGCTTTGTCTGAGCCTAGGCCCTCGTGATAGCTGGGATTTCTCTCCAAGCTGCTAACCTGTATGGCTACATCCTTTGTAAGATGGGAGGTGAGAGTGACATCAGCAAAGTCACAGCCAGTTTCCTGTCCCAGACGGTGTTCCAGACGGTAAGTTACTAAAGTCTATCTCTGGACCCCCGCTTTCTAGACACTCAAGTAAGGAGGACTGTTGGCAACCGCAGTTTTTAATGTTTTCCATATCAGCCAGGCTGCCACTGTTAGTTTTTTTAAATTGTAATATAACATACACAACATAAAATTTACCATTTTAATCATTTTTTAAGTGTACAGTTCAGTGGCATCTAGTACATTCCCTCTGGGCAACCACCACCACCACCCACCTTCCCAAACTGAAACTCTGGACCCATTAAATAGTAATTCCCCATTCCCCGTTTCCCAGCCCCTGGCAACCACCTACCTCCTTTCTGTCCCGATGAATTTGACAGCTCTAGGGACCTCACGTAAGCAGAATCATACAGTATTTATTTTGAGATTACCATTGTTAATTTTAAGAATTAAGAACCATGAATAATTTTTTAACCTCACATTTATTTCTAGAAGTGAGAAACAGATCTTTTAGATTTGACCAGGCTCATCCTGAAATAGTTTGAACCATCTTACATTTGAACAGTGCTGCTTTATGCTAAGACATTGAGCAACCAGCTGTGCAGGCTCTCAGCACATTGTGGGTTTGCTTTGGCCTTGAATCAGCAGAATCAAGTCACGCACAGGTGGGGACCAAAGTCATGGTTGACTTTTCCCTTGCAGGCCTGCCCGAGTGACTTTCAGAAGCCTCACCTTGAGGGGCTGGAGATCCACAAGTGTTAGGTAAGAGGCGGGATCACGGTGGGGGTCTGGACAATGGGGACCTGGGGACTTGTGGGATGTGCAGCTCTCCAGGGCTCAGCTGTGCCTGTGGTCTGGGCGGGCTTCCCCCTGTGCCCTGAGTAGCGGGTGCATAATCAGGAGGGAACCAGCACTGGGTATCCCCAGGGCTTTGTGGCCTCATCGGCCGTGAGAGGGGTCCCACCTTCCTCATGCTGGACATGTGCAAATTTGACCATATGTGCAGGCGTGTAGGGGAGCGGGGAGGGAAATGAGCGAACGGGAGAGAGAACAAGGGGATTTGCCTGTCCTTCCACTTACGCGCCCAGAGTAAGATGAAGAACAGGAATTTACTCTTCCCTCAGCCGTCTCAGTTCCTGTGCATCTCTCACGCAGTGAGCATCTCACAGCAATGTGGAGAATTCTAGAACTTACATCTGTCTTTCCTTTATATGTAATAAAAAACCTGTAAATTATCTTATCTGACACTGGAAGTTACTAGGTAGTGACGATACAGGGTGTAGACACAGACTCCCAATCTTCTTTACGTGGGTGATTTAAGGGCTTTTCTGGGGTGTTTTGACTACACCCAGCTGCACTGTATGCTTGCCCTCAGGACAAGCCCTAGCATGAGGCTCTATTCCTATTTTAGTTTTTCCTCAATCTGAAGAATAACTGTGGACTATGCTATTTAAAACCGTGCATGAGTATTTTTCAGTGAAGCCACATATCCATCCTTTGTTTCCTTTTTAGGTTTATCTATAGAAGCAGCAATGGCTGAAGCAAGAGGTTCTGTACTCAACCTTCTAGCAGAGAATTCCACAACACACAAATTTGTGTTTTTCAGCGAAGCAGGCCTCAGGGAGAGGTTTGAGGAGACGTTTTTAATTTAAAACAGCACATTCGTAAAGAATGCCCTTTACCCATGTTCTAAAGAAAAGTGTACAAATATTAAAGTGTCTCTGAAAAAGTGACTTCACACCGCACCAGAGTCTGGTCCCTCTCTGTCCTTGACTCCCACTTTGTCCCCGATCCGGTCAGGTTTCACTAGACACGCCGCTTGTGCCCACAATGTTCCCTGGTTTCAGGAACTAATGAGGTTCTCTTCTTTTGGCTGATGGAGATTACAAAACTCTTGGATTCCTGGAAAACAAAATAGAGGGTGGAGAAGCATGGACGGCTCTCAGTTTCTCAGGCAACTCTGCCCTGTTCTGGCCAGGGCGCTTCTAGTCGGGGGTAGAACCCCCAGGAGGCTTAATTCAAAACAAACAAATGACCAAACCAACCCCACTTCTGTTCATGTCCTGTATCTTCGAAGTGACCTGAATACCACATTGCCCCTCTGCGGTTATAGCCACCAGCGGGAGGCCTTTCACTAGTCCATTCTACAGATCAGGAAGCCTGAGAATGATGTCATTTACCCTTGATGCCATGTCACTACACAAACCGAGACTCTAGAGCTTTTAACTACTGACACCTCTGTGGTCAACTCAAGGGCTCTGATGGCTGCCCACTGGCGGAAGCAGGTCTGCACATGGGTTTGGTTTAGCTTACTGGGTTTTTTTTTTTTTTCCTCAATCAATTTTCAATTTACAGCTTTACTGAGATGTATTTCCTATGCCAAAAAATTCACGCTCGCTATGTCTTCTAACCTATGACTTTAAAATAATGTTCACAACATTGATGACTAGAAGATAGACTCTTGGCTTCCTGGGCTGAGGGGGACACTCTCCACATTATCCTAGACCCCACTACCCTACTGTCCCCAGTTGAGGCAGCATGGCAGTGACCATTTATGATCCTAAATTGGACCTTCTCACACCCCAGCCCACTTTGCTCATTTATGTTACTTCCTGGCCCCACAGCCAACTGAATTCACAAGACTCACATCGACACTTACTTTGAATTATACTTCTGTAGGCTAATGTGGCTGGGGAATCCGGTGCATCAATCAAAAACGACCGTCCTTCATCGCAGCTCTTACCTTCCAGAAACAATTGAAAGAAGATTAAATCCCTGAAGAAACCAGTGGCAACATGACCTTGGAGCCCTTTCGGGGCCTGTGACATTATGATCCTGAG